CTGAAACCTCCTATGAGGCTTCTGCGGAAGAAAATTCCTTGTATGTTCGACGACGAAGATCGCTGTCGTCGGCGAATGCTATCGTTGATGGAAACGACATAACGGTGACATTAGTCAATGCCTCCCATGTCGACTTAGATATAGTAGATATATCAGGCAACAAAATTGATGTTGTGGCCGGTGATCATATTTTAAATATCGGGGAATCCTCACTGGCTACAGTAGAGTTTGTTGAAGGTAGACCTGCAGTCCGGGATGAAAATAACAGAATTCTGCTGGATGAAATGGGTTCACCTCTAACTGTTAAGCCGGCAAGAAACACACAGCCATTGCCAGCAGTCTACAGTATTGCCGATGGAAAGCATAAGCCAGTTAATTTAGTAGCGAGTGACGGTACACCTGTACATGTTTGTGATTCTAATGGAAATGAACTCGCACTTAATGGAGGAGTCTCGGATTTGGAGGTATCTCAGGAAACGGTTTCCGTTATGAAGAGCTCCTCAGGGGAAGAACTTCTCTTGCAGAATGGCGAAGCCTTAGCAGATGAAGATGGAATGCTGCTGAAGGCCACATCCGTGAACACGCGACAGTACAGTGAGATTTCCACAAATGTCTTGGTGGATGGAGATGGCAACACCGTAAACTTGTTGAGCACAAATGGCTCTCCAGTCACAGTTATCGACGATAGTGATAATGTAGTTTCCGTTAAACCTGGAAATAAAAATATGATAATAGAGGATTTCAAAGTTACCGTTCTACTTGAGAACGCGATGATGGTTCTAAAGAAAGCTTCAGGAGAACTAGTGGTCGATGAAAATGGTTCACCGGTCACCCTTGTACCTGAACATACATCTAGGCGGAGACCCTATTTACCCAGTGAAGGCCACGGGATCATGGATTCTCATGACAATACAGTGACTCTAACTGACGTCCACGGGATTCCAGTAACACTGGATGATGGAAAGGGTAATAGCGTGAAGACTGTGGCTGGAGAAATCATGATGGTAACGGAGTCTGCAACAGCTTTCATTGTTGAAACTGATGAAGGAAAACGGCTTGCCGATGAAAATGGGAACATCATTGTCGATAGTGAAGGAAATGCTCTTCTGTTTGTCCCCACAAGAGAAATTGTTTCAACACAAGTAACCAACGTTATTGTAGATGGAACCAACAACACTGTTCAGTTATTGAGTGTGAAAGGTTCTCCTATTACTGTTATTAATGGACAGGGTAACGACGTAGCCGTGAGAGATGGAGATGTTCAACTAGTGAAAAATACCAACAGAGCCATGATAGTGGATATGGACGATGGCAGCGAAGTGTTAGTGGATACTTCCGGTAGCATCCTGACAGACTTGAATGGAAAAAAATTGAGGTTAATGACCGAAAGGAAGAAAGCACAGAAAGTTGCAGTAAATGTCCTTGTCGATGGCGAGGGCAACACGGTAACTCTCACAAACTTAGAAGGAACGCCTGTAACATTGCTCGATGACGAAGAGGTGGTGGTCACGATGGCAGGCGAGGTCCGGCTTGCTGTGGATGGCACTAACACTGCTAGAGTTCGACGATCGTCGTCTGAAGTAAACGTTGTTGATGAGGAAGATTACCTGTTGGCTGACGACAAAGGTAAGCTTCTAACTATGAAAAAGGTTGGCGAGCACAAGAAAACCTCCGTAGCTACAAACATGCTAGTTGATGTGGAAGGGAACTCGATAGCCCCGAAAGACTTGAATGACTCCCCTGCAACTGTTGTTGATAATTCTGCCAACATCATCGGCCTCGACTCGGGAGAGAAGACTCTTAAAGTCGAGACGACTGGCGTTTTCATGGAGACGGCAGATGAAGACTTGCGCTCCCTAGAGAGCGATGGCGCCCACAAGCGGAAACTGCAGGTTGACGACGCCGGCAACCCAGTGCACAGCGAAGACGGCCCCGTCCAAACTGTCCCAATAAACAACGTAGACTTGGCCCCAGAAGCTGATAATTTCCTTATAGTGACGGAAGAATTCGTCGAAGCGAGTTTCAGTCTTCAGCGCCTTGTTGCAGTTGTGAAGCGCGAGCAATACCTTATGCAACTTAATCTTGTGCGGAAATCGTCCACTATAAAATCTAGGAATTACGAAAGCTTTGTTGGGGAGATAAATTTGTTTGTGGACGTGGTAGGCAAGCTTCAAGCAAAGCTTTGCGCGAGCAATAC